CTGCCCATTGATCCAACCTGTCCAAGTCAGCCTGAATCTGCTCCCTGCCCTCTGGTGTACTAACTTTGCCCCATAACTTGGTATCATCTTGCTTATTCCTTGTTCAAATCCTCAATCTGGGGGTGCAGAAGAAATTGGAGAAAGGAGGGGGGGCACAGGCAGAAAGTACAACAGAACAACAGATATGTTGTTCAGTATTTTGGCTAGGCCTCAACGTAGTACACTGCCCTGGCCTCTTGATGTTATACCTCATGGAGGCATGGATCTGGAAAATAAAAATATTCCATGCAATGTAGGATTAACCAGCAACTACAGACCTCATCTGAGATGGAAAGATTTTGGGATCTTGAGACAGCAGGTGTTCCTTCTGCCCTGGCAGAACCCAAACAGCACTGAGTCAGCCCCTGGAATGACTGCTGAGACAAAATCAGTCTTTCCGCCATTTTAAAGCAGCAACATGGCACTTTTTTCTTACTTAATACTAATTCATTTCATTATCTTAACAGTCTGGCAGATTTTGCCCAGAACAGCCAACATTTGTTACCTGCTGATTATGTTGGGAGAGGATTGATTGGGTTCTGTGGATTTATTACCCCACATGACCATAAGGAAGATAGGACTGGTTCACTCTCATGGGAATAAGAAAAGGTGGGGGATGAATAGTTCTGAGGAAGCCTAGAAGCAGCTTAGCTGGACGAATAGTTTTGAGCTGAGCTGAGCTCTGGTACCTTACTGTTAATTTCTGTGCTAAGAAAATTGAAACCCAGGAAAAGGGTGAGTTTGACCTCTACACAGCATGTGGAAGGCTTAATGGCATTTCACCTGCCATGGAAAGGGGATCCGCTTGAGAAGGAATACGGCAGGTACCTGAGTAATAATAATACAAGAGTTCACAACAGAACATGAAGAACACTTCAGTCTATTAAAATTGTAGGAATAATTTAGTTAGGCAGACAGTATATATTTAACTTGGAAGGAAGCCCCATCACTAAGGTAAGGACCAACAAATAAGGCATAGGATCTTTAATCATCACTGTGAACTGGCAGTGTCCCCTGCCAGCTGGTCTCATGAGCCATAGCTATACTTCTTTCCAAGCTCCAAGCAGGTCCATTGTTTGAAACCCTCCTTAGCAAAGGAAGTTGAACAAACAAAAGCCACGGCCTTTCTTCCTTCAGGCTATCAAGGCTTTCCAGCTTCCACAAGCTCTTTCTGTCCCTTGCTCTCTTTCAACTAGCCCTTTTTAATGCTCCCAGCTGGGGATCTGCCCAGTGGCCTGATCCCTTCTACCTGTACCTCATCAGCAAGCAAAGGTAGTTGCACCTTCTGGACTCTTAAAGTGGCTATACCAGGAATGTCAACTTCACCTGGGATCCATATCGTACTGCATGGCTCCTTGCGGGATGGATCCAGTCCAGGGCATGAGGCACGTTGCAATGACCACTGCAGCAGCAGGGTCTAGCAGCAGTGAGGAGTCCAGGGGAGCGATTCCAGGGGCAGAGGTGGAAAGCCAAGCATACCACCAATGACCGTGGCTGAAGAGCCCCAGATTTTGTGGCAGGCCACACCCCCAACTTCTGGTGCCCACTGGTGGCCCTAATGGGCCAGACAGAGAGGTTCTATAGGCCAGACCTGGCCCACAGTCAGTATATCTGACACCCCTGGTTTATACCCTGTAACAATCACCACCACAAAGAGCTAGTCTTAGCTTTTCTCCTCAGATGAAAAATGATAGCAGTAAATAAGGACCAGTGAAAGGATAAAGTACCTTGTCCAGCATAATAGGCAAAGGATGAACTGAAAATGTTCCTTGACAATACCAGAGCACAAAAGAAAGTATTGTGATTTCAATGGCATTGTTAGAGTGGTGTTGTTAAAATGTGCTTAATTAAAAAAGTCTTAGTTATAAATAATTTACTGCTGTAACTGTCATATTGAATGAAATAGTTTGAATGTTTGTAATAGTAGCCCATTAGCCAGTTTAGGAAGAAGACAAGATTAATCTCCTTATCTAGGCCATTGTTTTGGTCTACGTGCGGAAGGTCCTGACTTTGCTCAAAGTCTTAACTCTTGAATTTTATCTTTAGAGGCCTTTAACAGAGAACCTAAAAATGACCCTTAAGCAAATATCCCAAATTCCGAGAGATCAAACCCTAGGGATCTTTAGACAAGATTGGAAATAAAAAAATCAATTCAGTGATATGGAAATTCCCCAAAGTAATTAGAATAGTCAAGAAAGAAACTAATTACCAAGCGAAAGACTCTGTTAAGTAAGATCCGAGTCCAAATTTGGGAGTAGTGACAGGTTTGGGTAGGAGGGGCCCAGGACGGCAACTCACTCAATAAAAACTGTAACCTACTGTCCCAATTTGGAGGTAAACTCACTTGCAGAACAACGAAGGAAGAATCGCAAGTGTAGGCCGGATCAGACTGATCACTGAACCACCCTCTCCGTGAACACGAATCTCTTAGTTCACGCTGAAGCTGCAGAGCGCCCGAAAGGGACTGAAGGAAGGGGACTTAGTCCTATCACTGCTGAGGCCAGCCCATTGAATCGTATTACTGAGGCGAGCCCATTGAACCATACTACTAAGGCCAACCCATTAAATTGTACTACTGAGGAATGAAACCATATTTAGGTGTTTGGCTTCTCGGAATTCTAGGATTGTAAGTATATTATGAAAATAATAGTATTGATTCAAATTTAACTTTTAGTTGTAACTGTAGTTGTTTTTGTAATACTAATTCTTATAGCATTGTTTGGGAAGGAAGTGCATTCGGAACATTGTTTCTGATATATGCAATTATTGTGTTCTTAATGTTTGTGGTATTTCTTAAAGCTAAGCAGTGTTATATGCGTAGCAAAGAATTTTCAAATAAAATTGTGTTGTATGAATTAAGTGTGTAATCATTGTGAAATCGTGCAAGTAGCTAAAAATTTCCCCAGCCAGTGCATCAAACGAATCAGTAAATTGTGTGGGATTTTCTCTATTCTATAACCCACTAGAGACAGTAACAAGAGGTCTTTGTAATGCCTCAAAAGTTTGGTTCCCAAGAATAGGGTTAGTATTAAGAATGGTGACATAGTTTTAGTAGCTCAGTACATAATTCAATTTGTGCTTGGTCAGAGAAATGAAATCTGCTTTAAAGTTCTGTAGTTCAGCACTAATGGATCTATGTCACTGGGTGCCATGGACACCACACAGCTATTCTTTAGAAGCTAATGCAGGTACACTTACATTGCTAATTTGCATGCACAGTTCCTCTGATTGTTGTAACCCCTTCACACAGAAATGACCAATTATGGACTGAACTCTTCATTTGTTATGCAATTATTTGATTGGAGGCACACCTATAGTATCTACGTGCATAAATTAGGCACAGGTGCACTTCTGCACCCAGAACTTCTGAAAAAAATTGTACGTGTGATGGTCAGATTGAATCAGTTGTCACTTGTGTGCTATTTAAATTCCATTTCAGATGATGGTAGTCTTGCTATCTAAAATTTCATGACATATTTTTAAGTGAAGAATTTATCCTTCAGGTCTTTAAATAAATGACAGCTGTTTTCCATCCCAGAGAGTGGTAGAATTTCACTGGTGGTCAAGTGGTTCCTATATGCTATTTGTATACTGTAGAGTGCTCTAATATCCATCATGATGAAACAAACATTATCCCTCATCGTTTCCCTTCTCTGTAAAGTTCATAAATAGACAGTAAGGAAAGTAAAGCCCACAAATAGAATTGTATTATATGTGCCAAAACTCCACGATGAAATACAGTACACGTTTTCTCTTGTAAAGAGTGCTTTTGGAAGTAGTCGGCAGAATGAGATTTCAAACAACAGAAGACACATCCAGTTGGGATATGGTGCAATTAATTATTATTCATCACTTGCAGATTGTGAGAAATGAGCAGGATTCTTTACAAACAAGTGAGGACCCTCTCCAAACTCACAATCCAAAAGCCTAGTCCTGCTACGGGCTCCACCCTGCAAGCCTTTATCCCTATCTGGAATCCCACAGAATCTAGGGATTTTCTTTCCTCCTATCCTATAAGAGGACAACATAGGTAATTTTGAAGCATGAGAGTGGTATGCTGTGCAGCAACAGTAATCCAAATTGTATGGAAGTGAGTAAAAATGAACAAGGTTCACTTTAACATGAATACTGTGTTGTTTAAATATGGTGTATAAAAAATATTATATGAAATGCAATTGACCTGCAGTTCTGCAGACATGGCACATTTTGTGGGGGCCATCAGAATGAAAAGCAATTATTGAATATTAATTACTAGCATTACAGTATTTACATTGCATGATCAATGTAGATGCCTTTCTACGAAGACTTGTACAGGCAAATTTTAGTGATTGCGAACTAAATATTTTAAAACGGAAACACTTTTTCCACCTTAATTCATTCTTTAGTTATAAAGCGTAAACTTTTTTTTTTTTTTTTTTTTACATGCAAACTCACACTCCTAAATATTCTGCAGTCACCTGTTCTTCAAGCTTAGATTCACTAATAGATGCATGTGCATTTCTACAGCTCTCAAGTTTACTATGGGAATATCTTCTGTTGGACACAGCATTATCTTTTCCAATTATTTCTTGCGCATTGTGTATGTGGAGGAAGAAAGGCAAACTGTCAGCAGATATATTATTTCAATATTTAAACATCCTGTGTGAAAGAAATAACACGTGTTGCTTTATGCTGTGTATTTCCCACTGTATACTCTCCAGGAAAGGAACAATTCATTCATTAATTTGCTTCTTGAGCCCTATTCTCTTTGCTGAAAGGTCTCTGGGTTTCACTCATATGCTGGCACCACTATAACAACCACCTTTCTTTCTTTGCCATCACGTGTTAAGGCTTCCGTAGACAGATTTAATTTTATTTTAATCTTATTTACATTTTAAAAATATTGTGATTCTTTTGCAAGGATAAATGACTCTTGAAAATAGTGCAGGACAAAAGCCAAAGCCCACTCACATTCTACTCACCTGGTTTCTATCTCTGGCATTTGCATACCGGAATCTCTGGATATAATAGAAGACCAGCCATGCCAGGGAGATTATCATCAACACAATGAAGGATATGGAGACAAATACCACTGAAGTACGACTGACGTATTTTTGCAAGTTGCGTGTTCCAATTGTTATGTACATCATCACAGTAATATTCCTCTCCAGCAGACTCACTATCTCTTTTCCTTTAGGCTCAGGAATCATTATCGCTACAACATCTTCCACACCTAGGATGGAGGAAAGATACAGTTAGAAAAAACAGTAACATCACAACAAGTCAGTCACTTGAAAAGGCTGCAGCATGGTGATAACAGGATATCAGCAACAAAAACAGAATCTTTCTCTTGGTTTGTAGGGTGATTATTCTAGTTTTACTGAGGCGATAAGCCAGATAAATCAAGTAGAAGATTCTGGTTTCATCTGGAATAAGTTATGTAGTTTGATCCAGCATACTACTACTGCAAATATGATTGTATAACTGAAGCAAGTGTCATGGCTTGGCATGAACACCACTTTCCAGGGCTCCTGAGACTCACATAGGAGATATTGACATAGCCTTGAAAAACGCAAATGTGAGCATTTTTTGTTTCAAATACAAATACATGCATTAGGTCAGGGGCAGGCAATTATTTTGGGCGGAGGGCCACTTACTGAGTTTTGGCAAGCTGTTGAGAGCCACATGGGTAGCCCTGCCCCTTGACAGGTGCCCTGGCCCCTGGTCACCATCTTGGGACTAGCAGTCCCACCCCTAAACTCTGACCTTTGCCACTGGAAGTCCCTCCCCTTGCCCCTGGAAGTACTCCTTTGGGGAAGAGGGTTTGCCATCTTAAAACAGGAAAAAACCCCCCAAATTTATATACAAAAATCAAACACCCATAATAATATACTAGCAAATTGCTTGTCATGTATGATGGGGTAGGGGGGGTAGGGATAGAGCGCTGTCACCCAGTGCCCCATGGTGCCGCTGCTCTACCTCTGGCCCTGTGCGCACCCCCCACATTCCCCCCAACCCTCACGTCCAGCCCCATGTGCCCCACCTCCCGCCGTTCCCAGTGCAGCTCCGTGTACCCCCCGACCCTGCACTGCCACAGGGTCCCAGGAACTGGGGGGAGGGGAGTTTGCATGTGGCTGCTTTCCTCCCCTCTTCCTCCCTCTCCCTACTGGGAGTGCTGCTACCCATCATCCCATGCCATTGCTGTCTGCCAGGATCAGCCACCAGCACCCCATGCCCCCGCCACATCCAAGGGGTGGACTGGTCCCACCATCCCCCCTGCTGTGCTGGGCAGCCCCAAGATGGCGGTGAAGGAGCTCCACTGCAGCCTAGCATGGCGCAGGCTCTGGGCAGCTGCAGCAAAAACTGTCTAGTGGCAGCAAGGGGGAGGGGCTGCTTTCACCCATGCCAGGCAGCAGTTTCTGTCCAGCTGCTGCTGCTCAGCCCCAATAGGTGGGCCTGGAGCCGGTGTGGGGCCCAGGCTCAGCAGAGGCAGTGTGGGACAAACTGCTGCTCAGCATAGAAGAAAAGTGGCCCTTTCCCTTCCCGGCACTTCCTGTTGCAGCCGCTCAGAGCCCACACAGGGCTGCTCTGTGTCTGCTCTGCACTGCCACTGCTGCCCCACAGGGCAGCTCAGAGGTGGCAGTGATGTGGTGGAGATGCAGGACAGTGCTGCATGGGCTCCGAGTGGCTGCACCAGGAAACGCTGGCAGCAGGAGGGGGAGAGACTGCTTTCCCTCCATGCTGAGCAGCAGTTTGTCCCATGCTGTCACTGCTCAGCCCAGATGGGTGAGTGTGGGGCACGTGGGGTTGGGGCTATGTGCACTGGTCCCTGCCTGTACTACGGGGCTGG